GAATATTTGAACTGGCATGCTAAATTGGTTGATGCACCGAGTCAATTGACAAATAAAATTCGTTTGAGCTTATATAGAGCATATACGGAAGAAACCAGTCTTGATCCTTGGATAAACTCTGAAATTTCCGAATCTCCACAAATCGAAAAGAATGCCAGCAATTATCTTTCATGAGACTGTATCATCAAGATTTTTAAGTTTCCGGAAGAAAAACGTGTAATCCATGATGCAGTACATAAACGCTTCCCTTTCTTGACATATACTAATTCTAATGCGTGGTATCGAGATGTTTTTAAATATACCGATTCAGAAGCTAAATGTCCAATATGTAAAGAGGTACATACAAGATATTGTATATGGGGCGATTGGAGCTGTCTAGGTAAAGATGATTACTATTATCTCAATTGTTCTTTTCATATCAATCAAAAGAAAGTTATAATTGCTAAACAGTCACCAGAAACTCAGGTAAAGGTATCAAGCAAAATTAGTAACTCACCAATTCATCCAAACAAAAATCGCCTTTATCAGTATGCCATCGAACATAAAATAGATCCCGAGAAATTCTCAGTTATTACTGAGGCTGAGAAAAATAGATGGGCCGTGGGATGTTTTCGTGGAGATTTGGAGAGGGATATACGGTTCTATCGCGGTGGAATAGAGAGGAAGGATGATCCTAGAAAATATTGCAAATTTTTAACAGATCGGGAGAGGCTGGTTAGTGAAGAGTTATTACGTTGTAGTATATTAAAGAGTGGTTTAAGTACTGCATAGCTCAATAATCTTATGGAAGAATGGGAAAAAATCCATGCTCAATTCACAAAGATATTTAACTAGCATATAAATTAACTTGCAATACATAAATCATTTTCCGCGATCACACGGTTGGGACGAAATATTTTTTTTCTGCATATATAAAATGGTTAGAAGATTAAGATCAGGTGCGACACACTTATCACCCGAAGCGATTACTGATATTATTATTTCTAAGGATAAAAAAATAAATGCATCAATTCTCGCTAAAAAGTATCACATATCATATGCACGAATTCGTGAAATATGACGACTCGCTATTGTGATAAATAATTAATGTTATACAGCGATCAGGAAATTTATATGAAAAAAAAATCAAACAATATGCTGATAGCGGAGCTAGTGTTAAGACACTTAAAATATATTAATATAATTTTGCAAACCATAAAACGTTCAATCAGTAATATTGTGGAAATAAGATTTCACAATCTTTATTTTGCAAATTTTAAATGTTAAAGGGTGTTCTGAACCAGAACGGTATCACGTGACCGTGGTGCAGTAAATAAGCATGGAAATTTCAGATACGCAATAATTCATTTTCAAATCAGTATAAACGAATTCTGGTAAAGATGCTACACGGGAACAAGTTCCATAAATATCAGATTAATAAAATATTATTTATCAGAGGGAAAATTTTCTATGATATATTTAACCTCACTTCTGGTTAAGTCAGAAAAACTAGATGCAGTAAATGATTTAACCCGCGATATTTTATTTTCTCCAAGTTTGCTAAATAATCATAAATTTTTCTAGCAGTGTCCGTTCTTTTACGTATCATAGCATTATTGAGATTTTTCGGGAGATGCTCTTTAACTTCACTATTTAGATCAGTATATGCTGTTTGTGGAGGCTTGCTCTTTAACAACACAGTGAGGCGCTCTGATAGTGCTTTCCCAAATTGAAAATAATAATGAATCACCTCCCGATTTGTTCGATCCCCCTTCTTTTCAATGTCATCAACTTCACAATATAGGCGATGGAATTTATTAGATATATCTTCCTTGTCAGATTCTTCAGAAGATACAGTGATTGATGCTTCATCAGAAATTGATACGACCGATAACTCTCGAATCATGGCTTGCGGTTTCGAGATCTTTTTAGGCTTATTTTCATGGGTGTTATCTTCCGGTTTCTTCCTCTTCTTTTTGGGAGCTTCGTTAATTGAGATACCAGGTGAGATATAATATCTTTCTTTTTCTAGATCATCCGCCGATGGACATTTAGGACATAAATTACGCTTGTTGCCAATGCACTCGAAATGGATAACGTGTTTACATGTCAATAATACGACCGGTTTTGAAAGTTCTGGAGAGATGGCTTCG